AGGGTTGCCACGCTTTTGCTCATTTCAAATTCCCTGACTTTTCCAGGTTTTCCAGGTTAAAAAACGAAATTTTTCCAGGTTTTTAAAACTGCATTTATATTTTACAAAATTTTTAATTCAAACCTTTTTGAAATTAAACATCTTAGAAAAAATTGTTATAAAATTTACACAACTTAAGTAAGTTACATAACTTACGCAAGTTACGTAAATAACAAAAGTAAGTTACACAAATAAGTAAGTTAACTTACGTAAATTACGTAAAATATAAGTTACGTAAATAATGTATGCTACGTAAAAATATAAGTTACGTAAAAAATGTAAGTTACGTAAATAACTTAAGTTACGTAATAGACGAATTATTGTAAATTGCACTAATTAGGTAACTTACGTACTTTACGCTAGTCATGAATTACAAAAAAATTTTATTTTAGTTGAAAATTTTCTTTTTTAACTTTACAACAGTCATTTGTAATCAGAAATATAGCAATAGTAGTCTTTACGAAGAACTATAGTAGAATAAGAAGGCAAGGCAGCCGCGGTCACCTTATTTTACAATAGTCCTGTTGTAAAGGCTACTACAGTCTGTATCACTGATTTCCTTAGACCGCTACAAATGTGAACAGTATCCAAAATTTCCTTTTAACGTAGACTATTGTAATTATAACAAGTCTCTGCGTGAATGCCTACAGTACCCTTTCTGAATTGTACATCTAAACTATTAATGATTCCAAAAAATAAATTTCAACACGATTAATACAGTGTTTGGACTCATTAAAGTAACTATAGTAATCGCTCCTACTAAATTCTTAATAAATTACATAGTTTTCGTAATCATTACAAAAAGTGGTCACATATCCGAGCTGTAATATAGACTATTGTAATCATTACGAAAGAAATTTTCTCCGTGTAATTTTGTAATGGTTAATTGTTTATTTTATATGATACATTATCAGTCAACTGGTTGATTTACTATACATCTACGAAGAATTTTTATCAGTTTTTCCATCCCTTAAAACAGTAGTATACTTGAAATAACTTGTTTCTTAAACCTCGCTTAACTACAGCATAAATATTTTTTTGTACCTCATAAAATTTTTCTAGGGAACTCTAGTAACAAGTTCATGTAAAAAAAATCCGTCCGTTTTACCTTTTAACAAAAAAAACTAATGTTTTTGGTGAAAAATAGATATTCCGTTTACATTTACCGCAATTGACCCTAATTACTTTTTAAAAGAATTGAATTTTTCTGATGAATTTTAATATTTATCAAAATAATTGAATTTTGGAAAAGAATTTTATTAAAATTCCTTAGAATAATTTATTTCATGGGAACAAGAATTATGAAAATAATTGAATTTTCACATTGAAATTTATTAAAATTTTTAAAAATAATTGAATTTCTAAGAGGAATTATAATAAAATTTTTAAAACTAATTGAATTTCTGAGATTTTTATAATTTGCAAAAATAATTGACTTCCTTTAAAACTTTTATTATTTATGAAAATAATTGAATTTTAAAAATGAATTTTATTAAAACTTTTCAATGTAATTGAATTCCTGTAAGAATTTAATTATTTATGAAAGTAATTGAATTCTTGCATCAAATTTTAACAAATTTTATCAAAATTTTTAAAAATAATTAAATTTTTAAGAAGAATTTTATTAAATTTTTTTAAAATAATTGAATTTCTGAGAAGATTTTTAAAAAAATTTTGAAAATAATTTAATTTCTGCAAAATATTTAATTACTTTTCAAAATAATTGAATTCTTGTGATGAATTTTTGATATTTATCAAAATAATTGAATTTTGGAAAAGAATTTTATCAAAATTCCTTAGAATAATTGATTTTATGGGAAGAATTTATGCGATTTTGTTGTTTATCAAGCTAATTGAATTCTTCTGCAAAATTACTTGAAAATTTTTAAAAATAATTGATTTTCTGCGACGAATTAAATGTTATTTATGTAAATATTTGAATTATTGCAACGAATTTTATTGTTTTATTTGAATAATTGAATGTTTCTTAAAATTGAATTCTTTCCTCAAGTTTTAATAAAATTTTTAATAATAATTGCATTTTTCAAGGAATTTATTTAAAATTGTATTAAAAGTATTTGAAATTCTGCACTGTAAAAAAAGGGAGTTAAATTTTAACTCCCCCGGAGGGTCTATAAAAGTCGCACCCATTGGGGAGTTAATGCCAAGGGAGTTAAATAAAGAGAGTTAAAATTTCACACCCAAATGCTAACTCCCCATGGAAAAAATAACTCGCGCGGGTGTTGAATGAAGGGAGTTAGAAATTAACTCTCTTTTGGAGTTGATTTTTAACTCGAAAAATTTCACTCCCAACTCCCGAGTCCGTTAACTCCCTAATTTTTTTACAGTGTGCGATGAAAATAATTGAATTCGTAAATGAAATTTTATTATTTATAAAAATAATTGAATTTTTCCGTAGAATTGTATCAACAAATTTTTTCTATAAATTAAATCTGTTCATAAATTTTATGAAAACAGTAAATATTGAAAATTATTGAATTGCAAAAAACTTTTGAAAGTAATTGAACTTTTGCAAATATTTTTATAAATTTTTGAAAATAATTGAATTTTTGGAGAAAAATTTTGCTATTTGTAAAGATAATTGAATTCTTGACGAGATATTCGTGAAAATTTTATAAAAATAATTAAATTTCTTCGAAGAATTTCATTACTTTTGAAAAAATGGTTGAAAATACAATTTTTATAAAGAAGGTGAAATAAAACACAACAGAAATAAAAAAAAGAAAACAGAAAAAACAGTTTTTGTCAACTCTGAAGAGAAAATTAAAAAAAAAAAGAATTCTTATTCATAATTTAATATCTAGAAAATGAAATTAAATTGCGCTCTTTATTCCCAGCTACCAGCACTTGAATTATATACATTACGAATGGAGGAGAATTTTATTTCAAGAAATAAATAGAAGCTTACAAGAAACAAACAAAAATTGAAGAAGAAAAAAGATAAGAATAAAATAATCAACAGTCGAGGATATATTGAACAATCTCAGTCTGTAGTTGAGTGCAAAATATGTTAACTCATTTTCATTTTTCCCAACTGACGTGCGCACTCTATATTCTCGCGGCATTACAAAGCATTCTTTTATTCTTCATTTTTTTGTCACGATGAAAAATTTTCAGGATCGTTGTCTTTTATATTATATATTTATGAAATTTCAGATCTGTTACACTTTCTTAATACTAAAAAAGTTCAATTTTAAAATAACAAAAAATTAAATAACGCAAGAAAATGTAAATTTACTTGCTTAATAATTGTGATAAAAAATGAGTCTTATTTTGAGAAAAGCTATTACTTTATATTATCTTTTAGTTTCTTACTCTTACTCTTCTTTTTATAGTTTTATTTTTCTCTTCTCTGATCTTTCTTATATTCCGATTTTCAAGTTTTCTCTTGTTTGGAAAAAGGTCAGTAACTTACGGACTTCAATACAATTTTGTTTAATTGTAGAAAAAATCTTAATTTAAAAAAAATGATTATAAAATAATATTTGAAATTGGAAAATTAGAAAATTAAAAAAAAATTATGAATTACAAATAAATTTTGTTTTTTATAACAAATTTCGTTTGACTAATCTAAATTAGGCAAATTTTTTTGCTTTTTATTCATAAAAAATATTAGAAAATTGTTAATTGTTAAAAAATTATGATTAAGAAATAGGAAATATATTCATTTTATGCATAATTTTTATTTCTCAATAACAATATTAATTGTTCACAAACTCATTCTTTTCTTTTGGGAAAAAAACATTAGTACATATTCCAGTTTCTTTATATTTTTGCAGAAAATTCTCAATTTTCATAAGGAAATAAATTCAAATAATTTGCATAATTTATATTTCTTAATTACAATTGCTTTAATAAAGTTGAAAGTTTTAAAAAAATTTAAAGGAAAAAAATGGTTATAAATTCTATTTGTCAATTGCAAATTTTAAGTGAAAATGAAATTAAAAATTTTTAAATTTAAAAAAAAAAGAAAAAAATTTTACTCAAAAAATATGTTCTGTTACGTTTATTTACAAATTTCTTTAATTGTAAAATTATTCGGAAACATCAATAACTTCTTTTTTAAATAAATATTTAATTATTATTATTTTTCCACAGGGATTAAGATTTTTAAAAATGTCAAATTCAAACCTTTTTGAAATTAAAAACAACTTATAAAAGTATTATCATTATTTTATATTAAGAATATTGTTACTGTAACTTCTTAAAAATTATTTTTATCATTTCAATTCAATTATTATTTTCTAGAATTTTTAAGTCGAATTCTTCTCTATATCAACTATTTTTAATAATTTTTGAAAAAGTTCTTTGAGAATTTTCAAATACATTTTTGTTTAAAATTCAATTTTACGAAATTTCGAGTATTCGGAAATTCTTCAATTAAATGCACTGTAAGAAAAATTTTGGAATTTTTCTAAAAAATTATCGAAAACTTCCTATGAATTTGGACTTTGGAAAATTAAATTAATTAAAAAATGAAATTTTATATAACATTTTAAATTAAAGTTTTTTGAAGTTCATATTTATGAAAATTGTAAACTCAATTTTTTTTAAAATTTAATAAATATTGAAATATTTAAGTAAAATTATTCATTAAATAATTTCTAAGTAATAATTTTATGATAGCTTTTCAAGAATGAAGTTGTTTAAAAAGAAATTGTTGACATAAGTAGAAAAATTTTAATTTTGTCTTTTGGTGATTTTCATAGCAAAAAAGACACAAAAATTTAGAATTTTCTTATATGTATTGTAAAAATTAAATTTTTTTTAGTACTTTTAATAAACATGTCTGACCTATTTCAATTCATATTTTATTTTTATGAACATGAATTAAAAATTTTTAAATTATATTTTTTTAAAATTGCTAATTTTATTTTAAAAAGTATGTATAAATTACAAACCTTAGATTTTAACGGATCATGAAATTTAATATGTTTCAGCCGATATATACGACGAGGTTGAAGAAAAATTGAAGAAGTTGGGACCCAACATAAAGTCAAAATGTGTCGGAGGTGGAAGAATTAAGCACGACTCTGACCAAAATGCCATTAACGTTTATGGATACTCTCAGGTATTTAAAACTTTTTTTTACATCTCCATAACCTACCTGTATGTATTTAGTTACTTTTATTTCAAACTAAACGTAACATATATACTTCCTTCTTTTAATTGCAAAAAACAACAATTTTCATGTAATGAAACATTTTGAAAAAAAATAATACATGAATTCATTAATCTTCCTTTCGTGACCCACTTTTTATTCACAGCTTTGATAAACTGAAGCTGGAAATTAGTTTATGAGAGCTTGACTCGCAACAATGCAAACTTCATCTTTCGCTAAATGGAAAATTCTTTAGAAATCAAGTAGAAAAATAGTCGTGTTAATGTTCAATATACATTTAACTTTAAATGGGTTATACTTTTTATAATTAAATACAAGAGGCTCAATTAAAAAATCATAAGTTACAATCAAAGATTCATTATAATGGATTATCTTCGCGAAAATTATATTTTAAATAGTAATTTAATTAATATTTAATTATATTTAAAATAGTAATTACGGCAATTTTTGATACGGTAATGAATGGAAAATTAAAATCATTTTTATCTAAATCATTTTACTATATAGTTTGAGAAAAATATTATTTTAATCTCAAAGAGATCTTTGTGAAGAAGAAATAAAAATAAACCTTAGATCGAATCACATCCATCAGAAAATTTACATTTAATTAGCCACCCAATTCATGATAAACATCGCGTTTAGGGCGCGGTAATGATTCAAGTGACCTCATGGAATGTCACTCTTGTTCATATGTTTCCACAAATAAATTGTATATATTTGTCTGGAAAAATAATGAAAAGGTTAGCAGGATAAGCGCCTTGGCACCGATTATTATCATTTTTCTGTTTTACAATTTTAACATTTTCGTAACTTCAATTATAATGATCTTCATCCACGTGAACAACTTTTTGTCACTTTTTGACCCCCCCCCCTCCCCCTAACTTTCCACGTGGACATTTTTTGGTGAGAAATTAATATTTTTGGTAGAACATGATTTTCAATTAAAATTTTTCAAAACTTGATTTTCAAAAATAGTAATAAAAATTTTGGGTGTAGTTCCGAAAACGTCCCACCTCCGATCCAAAATTTAAATTATTTTTAATTAATTAATATTAATTTATTAATTTTTTAATTAATTTATTTTTTAATTTAATTTATTTTTTAATTTAATTTATTTTTATCCAAAATTTAAAAAAAAAATTATTTTCAATTATATTTTACAAAATTTTAATTTATTCTAAATTTTTGTAATTATAAGTACCTATATTTTAAAAATTTAATTATCAAATTTTTAACACTAAAAATTGCAATAAGTAGCATTTTATACTAAAATATGCAATATTTTTTTTTTAAAAAAGTCGAAAAAGTTGCAATTTTTGAAAATAAGTCAAAATAATTTGCATTTTTTGAAAATAGTCGAATAAATCAAAGTATCCGAGTCATAGTATCCAGGGAAAATAGAATTGGTTAGGGAAATCATGAAACTATACAATTTCCACGAATTCTAAAAAAACGTTTAATTACTTTTATTTCTGACAATAATTTAATGAAGTATTTTTTTGAAAAAGTTTAATTTCAATTCTGTTGAGATTAGTTTCAATTTTAAAAATTTTAACGCAATTCTTTGAAAGAATTCAACTATCTTCATAAATATTAAAAATCTTTCTATAAATTAAATTATTTTCAAAAATTTTAAAAAAAATTTATTGTCAACATTTCAATTATCTTTATAAATAACAAAATTCTTCGTTGAAATTACATTATATTCAGGAATTTTTCTAAAAATAATTGTAAAATTCAATTATAATTTTTCGCAATAATTCAATTATTTTCATAAATATTAAAACTCATTGTAGAATTTCAATTATTTTCAAATTCCTCAAAAATGTAATTGTTCTTAAAAAATTTATTAAAATTCGTCAAAAGAATAAAATTATTTAAAAATTTGTTGATAAAATTCTTTATAAGAATAAAATTTATAATTAAATTTTTATAAGAATGAAATTTTTATTAAAAATTAATTTCAGTTAAAGTTTTAGATAATAATTAAATTTTAGAGAAGATACTAATAATTGCAATTTTTAGAAAGAATTGAATTTTTTAAAGGTTTCAAATTAAAATCTTTGACAAATCTGAATTTTTCATACTTTTAATTAAAAATTCTATGAAATTAATTTTTTTCTAATAGCTTAATCGAGATTTTTTAAAATTATTTCAAGTTTTTATTTTCTTATGTACATATTTAATTGAAGAATTTTCGAATAATTGAAATTTCACGTAAAATTGTATTGTAAACAATTAGATTTAAAAATTTCTCGATTAAGAATTTTTTCAAAAATTATTAAAAATTGATTTAAAGAAGAATTTTATTTAAAAATAATTAGAAAATAATTAATTAAATTGAAATGATGAAAATAATTTTGAAAAAGTTACAGTAACAATATTCTTATTTTATAATATAAAATAAGAATTTTTATCACGCGATCACCCTTAATTATTATAAAACATGAGTCATATAAACACTCTGAGTCATCTTCGTACAGGAATTGACAAATTTTATAAATAAACAATTTAAAAATGTTAAAATATTAATTTTTTTATAATAATCGAAAACTTTTTAGATTTTGTTCAGTGACTTAAAATTGCGTTCAATTTTTCTTCTACACAATCCACTATAAAATCACCCAAATTTCTAAATTTGTTATTCATATTATATTGAACACTTTGACCTAAAATTTTTTTTAACTATTTTAATTTATAATATAATATAATAATTTAGCTAATTAAAAATTCAAACAAAAATAATTATCTTTTTTTTTAATTTTAAAAATGATTTTGAATTATCTAAAACGACCGAGATGATGAAAAAATAACTTTTTAAATTAGATATTTGCAAGAAACTAATGAAATATTGTTCTCTTGCAATTTCAGGGATTTGGAAAAGCTGATCATGAAGTGTCTGTTGATCTAATAAAAAAAAAGTATCCCTCTTACGAAGTCACCTGGTCCAATGAAGGATATTAATTATTCAAAAGGAAAAATATTTTTGACAAATTATTTTTCTTTTACACTACCTACTACATTGTTATTTAAATCTCATTTTAATAATTTTCTTTTTTGAAAAATAATTTATTAAAAGCAGAACGATTTTTTATCTATATTGTGCCCTTATTTATAAATTTAAAAGGATTGTAAAGTCTCCGAATAGCAAAATTTTTGTACACTAATAAATAAATAAAAATAACAGTATAATTAGTTTTTTTGCGACTTATTTATTAATTATTTATATTTTTTATTTATTTTTTATTACACTGGAAAAAAAATTTGATTAAAATAACTGAATACATGACTATTATCATAATTAAACATTTACTTGAATCAAATAATTTTTGAGTCAATTAAATGTTATTTGCTTTAAATACTGAAATTATTGGTTCAAATATACCATTTAATTGAATCAAATAAAAATTATTTTATTCAAGTAAATGACTTAATTATTTTATTCTATTATTCTCATAGCATGAGAAAGTAATATTTTATTATTAAAATATTAGAAATTTAAATGAACATAATTTTTATATTAATTAATAATTAATAACAAATTTATTTTTATATTAGAATATTATTTTCGTTGTATATTACAGTGTAAAAAAATTTATTTAAAAAATAATTCAGTATTTGTACTACAGAGGTCAGCACTTTCCGGAGGCTTTACTCCGTGGATAAGTGTTGATAAGTTACCGTTTTAAAAACGTGAGTTACCATGTGAAATTTGAATTCGAAATATCTAGTGTAAAAGTATCTTCAAAGAGAGTGCCACTGTTTAATTTTTTCTAAATAAAAAATTTCTTTATAAATAAATTTCTAAATAAATTTTTTCTAAATAAAAAATTTCTTTCTAAATAAAATCTATTAAAATTATCACAAAAAAATTATTGCATTAATATTTATACGTTATTTATTGTTAAATATTGTTTGTAGAAATTTTTTTCTCTTTTTTGCATTTAACATTAATACAAAACTATTATATACCTATTTATTAAAAAAGCAATTTTTAGTTTAGAAAATTACAATAAAAATTATTTTACGAAAAATAATTTTCGGAAAAAATAACAAAGAGAATGAAATAAAATTTAATAAAGTCCAAAAATAACTTCAAAAAAAGAAAAAAATCTTCATAAATATTTATTTTATTAATTTTATTTAATTCATAAAATAATTTTTTCTAAATAATTCTACGAAGTAATAAATATTAAATTATTTTTACTTCAATATTTCTTTTTTAATTAAAAATTTAAATATATTTTTACTGTATTTTTTATTTTATAAAAAATATTTTATAATTATATGTTCAATAATTTAGCATATAGTTATTATTACTATTATATTAAATAATAATACCTAATAATAATAAATTAATTTATTATTATTATCAATATTAATTACTATATACAATGCAATTAAAATTATAAAGTTAAGAATTATAATTATATTATAATTATAGTGTTATAATGAAAATAAAAATTATAAGATAATAAAGTGTTTCTAACAGTTACGTGCAATTTTTTAAATATATATATAGTGCAAGAAACAAATGAATGAAAACTGAAAACAAACAATTGTTCACAATGGTGAAAAAAAAGAAAACAAAAAAAAATGAATTAACTTCGTTCACATGGTAACCGGCAGTCAACATTCAATCAGTTTGGAAAATTTTTAGGCCCTAGTAGATCGTTTTTAAAATTTCAAGTTTCAATTAAATAAAATTTTTAAATTATTAAATTAAATAATAAATAAAAATTAGAAAATTATTAAAATCATGTTTTCGCGAGCAACAAAATCAGTCGTCCGGTCTCTGGGACAATGCAGATTCAGCGTTGATGGAAATTTGAAGGTTCGTTTTTCTTCAATTTTTCAACTGAAATCGTCAAACAAAATTTTTTTAATTACAAAAGAAAAATATTTTCAACAATTTCTTATTAATATCGCCAATTTGCAAATTTAATAAATTATTTTGAATTTTTGTTTGAAAATTGAAATGTTTCAATTCCTTTAAAGAACATTACGTTCAATCACATTAATTTATAACTAAATATCTTAAATAAATAATTAAAATTAAATAACTTAAATATTTTTCAATTAATAAATAATAAATTTTTAAAGTAAATTTTTTAAATAAATAAATTAAAATTTTTATAAATGTAAATTAAAATTCAGTCACAAATTCATTAGATTAAATTGATAAAATAATCAAACAATTATTTACTAATATTTACAATAGTAATAATAAAAATAATAATAAAAAATAAAATTTTATTAAATATCAATAAGTAAATAATTTAAAAGCAAATAAAATAAATACTGACAAAAATTTATTAACATAACCAAATAGAAAAAAGTAATAAAAAAATTTTATTTTATCCGGTAAAGAATAATTATTAAAATTTATTATTTTATATTTAATTTTATTTAATTGAAAAATTAATTTTAATTTATTTATTATTAAAATAGTCGTAATTTAAAAAAAACTCAAAAAAAATATATAATTATACACATTGGATAATTAATGAATTTTGCCTTTAAATTTTTGTGATATCGAAATGAATATACATTTAAAAATTAAAATACACTTGAAATATAAGCAAAAGACTAAAAGTTTTATTATCTTTTTTTTCATCAGGCAATTGGAGCAGCTGGTGAGGTGGGTTCAACCTTGCCCCCATGTTTGAAAAATGGTTTAAAATTTGAACCGACGGCTGTCAAAAATTTGGGGCCACTTGAACAAATGACAACGGCAGAACACAATTTTGGAAAGGTATTTTAATCAAATTAAATTATTCAAATTTAATTTTTCATGTTTATCATACATTATCATAAATTATACAAATTACAAAAACCTCGATTTTATTATCATTGATTTCAAAATACTTGAATAATAAATTTAATAAATTTAATAAAATTCATAGAATTCATAAAATTCATAAAATTCCCATAAATATTTAAATTATATTTTTATTAATTATTTTTATTTTCAATTTTATTAATTATTATTTTAATATTTGTTAATTAATTGTTAATATTTGTTAATTGTTAGTTGTCAATATTAATATTTTCATTTTATTCATAATTAATTATGTAATATGTAATTTAAATTTATTATTTATTGTAAAAAAATCATTTTTAAAGTTTTTTATTATTGGAAAATAATAATTTTTTGTTACTTTCTGTTTATTTCTATATTTTAGTCAAAAATATTTTTCAATTCAAAAATGTTTACTTTTTTATGAATTATAATAAATAATATTTATACACTACTATTTTTATTTATAATTTATTTATTATTGAATATGGAAAAAAATATAAAAATAAATAAAGTGATTGTAAATTAAACTGAGATGAAACTAAATTATCGTGAAACAAAAATTAATGGTCACAAAGAATAAAATATGAAAGCTCAAAGGCTTAAGTGACTTGTTCCCTTTTCTTTCGAAAGTTTTGAAATTGTTTTCGAAAAGAGAATACAAGATATTTAGGGAGATAAATTTAATTGTTTTTACAGACAATGCCTGAATTAACTCAAGCTCGACTTCAGTTCAGTTCAGAAAGCACAAGTTCGGAGTTAAATAAAAATTCACTCCAGGGAAGCAAACTTTCCAATTTTGAAGCGAAAAATGTAGGACGATTATTTTTTTAAAATTATATTTCTTATATTTTATTTTTAATCCATATTTTGCTTCTTTTTATTATTTATTTTTAATGTTTTAATTTATATAATTTTTTTCATTTTATTTATTTTTATTAATTTTTATTTATATTTATTCAATAAATGAAATTATTATAATTATGGCTAAAGTTTACAATGCATGCAATTAATAAATTGCTAATTTATTTAAATGGAAATTTTTTAGCAAAATTAAAATGTTTTTTATTTCAGGAAAATTCGGAGGACCTTGTCGACATTCTGAAGAAGTTGCCAATTGCTGAGGAGGCAGAAACTGCGAATAATTTACAAATGATCCCTTACTCATTACAGGTATTTATTGACAATTTCTAATTATTTATTAATAATTTTCTTTTAATTTAATTTTATTATTTTATAATTTTTAAACCAAATTTTTCGAAAAATTGACTATTGAAATAAATTCTAAAAATTCATTTTTATGACGATACTATTTTTTTTTAATTTAAATTTTGAAGTAAAAATAAATTTATATATAATTAATACAGTTTAAAAAATGTTTAATAAATAAATTTAATAAATAAATTTGTAAAAGCTTCTTTTAAACAAAAAACGAGGCTTTAAAAGTGAAGGACATTTCTTTTCCTAAATCATTTAATTAATATTTCCGAATTTTCTATTTTTAAATATCGTCAAAGAAAATAAACTGTCATTTGATTGGATGACACTATTCTAAAACAATTTGGGTTACTGCTGGCTTGAAATAATTAACTTAAAATAAAAAAAAATAAATTAAATTTTTGTTAACAAAATTGAAACAAAAGACTTTTAAAGCTTTTAAATGATTGTTTCATTTTTTTAACTTTCGAATATATATTTTCAATTAATTTTCTCTTAAATTGTGAAAAAAAATTTCTTTCAAAAAAAATTTCTTTATTCTTCAAATAAACTATTTATAATAAAATTAAAATTGCTTTCATTTATTTTTAACTTTGAGACTTTTACATTTTGAGAATAAAACAGTAAATAAATAAATAATCGAAATAAAAATATTTGAATAAATAATTAAAATTTATTGTTGAAAAAAACAAAAAACTCAGCAGTTACCCATATTTTGTTTTAGGATGGGCGAAACAATAAGAACAACAACAACAACTGTCGACAAATTAAAATGGATTCTCGAAGATTTTGGAATACAGAAAAAATAAATAATTCACCAAAATTTGCGAATATATTTCAAAATTCATTTAAAACTCAGAATTACTCTACAACTAGAAGAAGATTTTCAACAATTTCCATGAAATCAATATTTCCTCTAAACAATAACAACAATAAAATTATATTTAATTACAAAAAATTCCAAATTCTCAATATAAATCAATTTCAATTTATTCAATTGATATCAATGAGTAAACAAAAAGATGGTTGTAAAAAGAAATTTGAAGATTATTGCAAAAAAATGAAGTCAATGAAGAGTGGAAATTCCGATTCGTGTAAAAATAAAAAAGAACAAAAATGCCCCGGCGGAAGTAGTGAGAAAAAAGATCGAAGCTCCTGCACCAATTCAAATCGTGAACATCCCTGTAAGAAACAAAAAGAAGAATCTGCAGCAAAATTAAAAGAAGATTCATGTAAAAAGAAGTGTGAAACGAAGAAAGTCGATCCGTGTAAAAAGAATGGTAAAAACACAGATCCTTGTAAGAAAGTAAAAAAACCTGATCCTTGTAAGAAAAAAGAAACGGATTCCTGCAAGAAAAAGGAATCCTGCAGTAAAGAAGAGAAGAAAACAGAATCTTGTAAAAAGGAAGAAAAGGATCCTTGTAAGAAGAAAGAAAACGAAGAAAAGGATTCATGCAAGAAAAAAGAGGAAAACGATTCTTGTAAGAAAAAAGATCCCTGCAAGAAGGATGAGGATCCTTGTAAGAAAAAAGATCCCTGCAAAAAGGATGAGGATCCTTGTAAGAAGAATGATCCTTGCAAGAAGGATGAGGATCCTTGTAAAAAGAAAGATCCTTGCAAGAAGGATGAGGATCCTTGCAAGAAAAAAGATTCTTGCAAGAAGGATGAGGATCCTTGTAAGAAAAAAGATCCTTGCAAAATGGACGAAAAGAAGACCGATTGCAGTAAAGAAAAAGAAAAGAAACAAGATTCTTGTAATGGAAAGGAGGAGAAAAAAAATGATTCTTGCAAAGAACACGAAAAAAATAATTCTAGCAAAAAAGATGAAAATGATTCTTCATCATCGTGCAATAAAAAATTAAAATTAGATGATCCTTGTGCCGAGAGGATCGATCCAAACAAAAATTAAGAAATGTCCTTCCATTCAAAAGTAAACGAATTCGAAATGTTGAAATGTTTTTGCAAATTTTATTATAAAGTAAAAGTAAACGAAAATTATTTCAAATAAAAAATTGAAAAAGAAATAGTTCTCTATAAATTTAGAAAAAATATAACCACACAATTAATTATTAATTAATTATTAATTATTGATTATTAATTATTAATTATTAATCTTTTCACAATTAATTATTATTTATATCAATTATTATTTTTAATTTTATTAGTAATCAATTAGTAAAAAATTACAGTAATAAATGAATAATTGATTTATTATTTAATTTTTAAATCAAAAATTATTTTATTTTATTTATCATAAATTTATTTATTCTTTAAAAATTACATTTTGTCTATTCTTGAGTTTCTTATAATTTTCATCTTTTTTTAGTCGGAAGACGGACTCGCAAACATGTTCACTCCCCATCAAATTAACATCATTGGTGATAAAGTAAGTGTTCAATTATATTACTTTCTATAAATCTAATAAAATCTATTATTTCATACTTCATGTAGAAAATGAAAATAATTTTCAAAATAAACTGTTTTTTTTTATTTTCTTTATTATACTTTCGAATAATTTGCCTAAGCAAAAAATGACAATTTCTTAGAGAAAGATTACAAAAAAGGAAATATTTTTGCAAAAATTAAATAAATCAATAAATATACAATCAAATGAATAAATAAAAAATAAATAAGAAATAGAAAATTAACAAATTAATTAGTAAATAAATTAATTAATAAAAAATGAAATTATTTTTAAAAAATTAAAATATAATTTAATGAATAATTTTATAAATAAATAAACCAATATTGAATAAATAAACAAATATGCTTATAAAGAAAAAAGTAAATGAATAAATAAATTTATAAAGATAAATTATAAAGAAAATAAATTATATAAAATTAATATTATTAAAAAAAAAATAAAAATAAAAAAATTTTTTTTAAACTTTTTAAATAATTTAAATTTTTAAATTTAAATTCAATCAAATTTAAAATAAAATTAAATAAATAAAAGGAAATAATAAACTTTTAAATAATTCAGGTTTCATACTCATCTACTAAAACCTACTTTTTACTACTTTATTTACAGTTTGCTACTATTTGGATACTTTTTTTAACATTTGTGCCACTAAAAGCTACTTTTTTCTATGTTTGAGAATTTTTACTACTTTAAATTCGCTAATAGTTGGAATAAAAAAGTTATTAACAAAAATTTTAATAAAATTCTTAAAAAGAATTCAACAAATTTTAATAAAATTTTAATAAAAAATTTTCTGAAAGAATTTAATAATTTAAAGAAAACAATTAGTATAAAATTTTTTGCAAACATTTAATTATTTTCATAAATAATAAAATTTTTACAGGAATTCAATTATTTAATACACAAACTTCATAAAATTTTTCCAAAAAAAAAATCAATTATTAAAAAAGATTTCCGTAAAATTCTTCACAAGAATTTGATTATTTTTATATATAATACAATTCGTTGCAAGAATTCAATTATTTTTATAAACTTTTCTCTATTCAATGATTATTTCTACTATTTTAGTAAAATTTCCCAAATGAATTTAATTAACTAAAGAAAAATAAATTTGATTAAATTTTACTCAAACATTAAATTATTTTCATAAATAATAAAAATTTCACAGAAATTCAATTATTTCAAAATTAAAAAGCAATTGACATAAATTTTTTTGAAATTAATTCAGAAATTTTCACAAAAATCTTCGTAATAATTCAATTATTTTCATAAACGTTTGAATTTTCTACAGGGATTCAATTATTTTCATAAATTATAAAATTCTGCTTATAGAAATTCAAAATTCATAAATAATAAAACTCATCGTAGAATATCAGTTATTTTTAATACCATTTTAAATAAATTCTTCAAAAAAGTGCAATAATATTATTAAAAATTTTATTAAAATTCTTCGAAAGAATTCAATTGTTTTAAACATTTATTGATAGAAAATTCTTTATAAGAATTCAATTTTTAAAAAAATTCAATTATTCAATAAATTATAGTATAAATAAATTAAAAATAACAAAATTCTTTGCAGATCTCCAATTATTTTCAGAAATTTAAATAAAATTTTTTTCTCAAGAATTTAAGTATTTTTGTTAAATAATAAAAATCTTTGCAGAAATTCAATTATTTACAAAAATCTTAATAAAATTCTTCACAAGAGATTAATGATTTTTATAAATATCAAAATTTTCGAAGAAATTAAATTAATTTTTACACAATTTTAAAAAAATTTCTCTACTTTTTAAACAAATTTTTTTGAATATCTCAATTATTTTTTAAATTTTAATAAAGTCCTGCGAAAGAATTCAATAATTCTTATTTTCAATACAATTTTAATTGAATTCCATGAAAGAATTAAAAATTTTCGAAAATAATTATTCAATAAATAATTTATTATTGTATTGAAATTTAAATAATTTGAATTCTCATAGAACTTTCTAATAAGAATTGATTTAAAATTGAATTTCAGAAAAAATTTTAGATAATTATAAATATTAGAAGCGTTATGGTGTAAATTTTCAGAAATAATTAAATTTCAAAAGTTTTTTAGAATTGATATCTTTGAAAATTTTAATTGTTTTTGGAGAACTTGAATAATATATTTATTTTTAAATATAATGATTAAATTTTTGAATAGTTTCATTCCAAAATTCTAAAAAATAATTGATTTTTGGAAGAATTGTAATTTTTCAGAAATAGTTAATTTTCAAAAAGGCTTTACATTTAATCATTAAAAATATTTCAATTCTTGTGGAAAAATATTGGTATTTATTTATTTATTTACAATGTCCCCGCGGTCAAAAGACCGGTATTTAAATATTTATTTAAAAAAATATAATTAAAACTATAATCATTAAAAATATTTCAATTCTTGTAGAAAAATATTGGTATTTAAATATTTATTTAAAAAAATATAATTAAAAATATAAAAAGAAATAAAAAAATATTAAAATCATTAAAAATATTTCAATTCTTGTGAAAAAATATTGGTATTTAAATATTTTTTTTTAAATATTTTATTTTTGAATGTAATTCAATTTTTCAATTTAGGAATTATGAAAAAATTGAGTTGTCAAGTTTAATTTTTCGATAGCAAAATTTTTTCTATTTTTTTAGTCATAAAGCTACTTTTTGTCACTTTTTCAAAATTAATTATCAAGTATTAAGCCTGATAATTAAATAAAACTGATGTATAAATAAACAAATTATTAAATAACTAAATGAGATGAAAGTAAAAAAAATTGGATTTGATAATTAAGATAACAAAGTATAAAATGAAAAGAAAAAAATGAAACTTCCTTTCTTGTAATCAGATCTAATGAGAATAATTCTAGAAAGAAACATTGGAGTAATGAACTTGTAAGACCTGATGCCGTGGCTCCACCTCCTGCCTCTTTCACTCTCACCCTCAGTCGACTGCAAAAGGGCCAAACCTTTTTAAAGCTATCGACTTTCTTATTAAAAGTATAAAAAAAATACAAAAAAAAAATTTGTAATCGAGTTGACGTGGTTAATTAAGTCTGATTAAAGTCAAGTCAGATGAAAAGTTGAATTTGCCAGAGTCTGGGGAAGGCTACGGCAGCAGGGGCCCTTGCTTCGAGTTCAGTAGCTCTTCTCCTGGCCCGCCTTCTAAGGCAGATCCTCAAAGCATTCGCCTCTTCTCCAAGGTCCCTGCCATCAGCGAAATGATGTTCCAACTGTTCGCCAGCAACATGACCAGCAGCAGCAATTCAATGGACCGCACCGTCAATGATGACTACTTCCCTCAAGGCGATGAATTCGAGGACGAAATTGGAAAAGACGATTTCCCCCGTAATCGAAATGCCAAACGTGACCTAGACGATGACATTGAAAATATGACGCCCGTCGCTCTCCTTCAATCCTCGCATCTCACCATTTTCCAAACACTCCAGTTAAATCCACTTTTTGGCAAACTCACGAATCTCCTCAACAAAGAAATTAACGACAATGAGACTATCGAGAGACTCAAGACCCTCGTGAAGAAAGCCGTCGATTTCAAGCGACGCGTCTTCCAGACCAAAGGCGAAGAGGATCAAAAATTCGAATCAAAGAACGATGAAAGCAAATCCAACTCGAATGGACACGACAAGCTCGTTCCTATATTTTAAATAATTTTTAGTTTACGTCCCTTGAGACTGAGGAGGAGAAAGGGTGGCAATAAAAGAAAGGAGGTGGTGGTGGTGCCAAAGCAGAATTATTTATTGTGGCATCTAAAGAGAAATCTTTAATCTTTAAAAACTAACCAGATGCAGAGTCCAATGATGTGGCTGGGAGACAGTGATTGCGGCGAGGATCCGCCAAATTGGCCATCAAAGAGTCCCTGCTCCGCGCCCGAAGGCCCTTGCAAACCACTTCCATGTCCTGCGAAACAAAAAAAGAAAAAACACGAACGGAAGCCCTTCTGCGTTCGATGCCCTCCTAAAAGGCCGTGCAATCTTAGAAAATGCTAGGGAAACAGAAACAAAAAAAAAAAATTGTGAAACAAAAACTTCTTTCTCCCAATTCACCAGGCGACAACACCAATCTTCAAAAAGTGTTTTCTCTCCGTCGCCAATCATCTCACGAGGAAACTTCGAACAATGAAAATATCAAAGGAATTACAACGATGGATCTTTGAAAGGAAGATGAGAGTTTATAGGCCACCCCGTGAAGCACCTCCTCAGCCTCCGTTGCCACAAGTCTTTCAGTTTGACACAAGAGCTAATCGATTGAAATCAATGATGGCGATGATGACAAATTTCAGGAATTCATCGAATTCAATTTGCCTTCATGTTGGCAATGATAAAAAGTGCATGAAAATTCTCTTTCCAATGCTGACTACAAATTCTTTGGTTCGTATTTGTTTTCTCCTTTTTGAATTTAAAAATTTCTTTTTCCTTTATTCTGCACCTTTTTTCTCGACTTCATTTTTTGTTCCTTTCTTTACAATTTATTTCTTCCTTTTAACCTCGTTTAATTATGCTGCACCCTCGCATACATTGTTCTAAATTTCTCCTCCAACCTCTTTGGAACATTCTTTGTCAGGGTAGCAAAAAAAAAAAAATAAATAAATAAATAAAAAAAAAAAAATTTTTAAATTTAAAAATTTTAAATTTATTTAAAAAATTTAATTTTGTTGTTGTTTGCTTTTTTGTTTCTTAACTTTTTAAATAATTTTTCTTTTTAAATATTTTCAACTAGCAACAATTCACGCGCTAAAGCGTGCGGCTAACTTCTTACTACCTTTTTTAAATAAAATTAGCAATTTTAAAAATAATAGAATTTGAAAATTTTCTAATTTAAATTTTTGTTGAAAATACTAAAAAAATTCAATTTTGTAGAATTTAAAAATAATTGCAAAAATTCTTACAAATAAAATAAAATCTTTATAAATAACAAAATTCTTCTCCAAAGTTCAATTATTTTCAGAAACTTTTCTAATTTTAATGATTTTCAATATCTACGATTTTAATAAAATATTTCCCAAAACGAATTCAATTATTTAAAAAAAATTTTAATTTGAAATTTTAGAAAATGATAATTTTTAATGAATGAATTAAATAATAAAAATTTGAGAGGAATTCTATTATTTACAAATTTTTTTATAAATTTTTTCGCAATAATTTAATTATTTTCATGAAGAATAACATTTTTTTAACCAGGAATTAAATTATTTTCATAAATAATAAAATTCTATAGGCACGTAGGTTTTCAATTATTTTCATAAATAATAAAAATCATCGCGGAATTTCAATTATTTTTGGTACAATGTTAATGGAATTTCTCGAAAAATGTAATTATTCTTAAAATTTTTATTAAAATTAATTTTCAAAGATTTTAATGAAATAATTTTTAATAATTCGACTTTTTTTCAAAATAATTTGAATTAAATTCTTCGTAGAATAAAATTAATTTCAAAAATATCAGAATTCAATTATTTTTAATATCTACTATTTCAATAAAAATTCACAAAAGAATTCAATTATTTAAAAAGAAATATATTATTAAAATTCATCGCAAGAATTAAAGTATTTTTCATAAAGAATAAAATTCTTCTTAGGTATTCAATTATTTTCAATACAATTATTAAAAAAAATTCGATTGTATTCAATAAATTAAAGAAATTTTTCAAAAAAATTCAATTATTTTCGAAAAATTTTTAATAAAATTCCAGAATTAAATGCTTAATTTCAATTATTAAGAAAGAGGATTACCTATTATAAAAACTTGAAAGAAATTATTTATATAGAATTCAATTACTTTGAAAACTTGTAATTAAAATGATTAAAGAAAGTCCATGATTTAAAGAAACTCAAAGAAATTCTTCAAAAGAATTTAATTAAGATTATGTAAAATTTTAATAAAATTCTTCCTAAATTCAATTATTTTCATAAAAAATAAAATTCTTCGAAGAAATTCAATTATTATCAAATTTTTTGATAAAATTCTTTGCAAGAATTCAATCATTTGCAAAAGTTTTATAAATTTTTTCGTAATAATTCAATTATTTAACAAAAAAATTAATAAAAGTTCTTCATAAGAATTCAATTATTTTTGAAAATTTTAATAAAATTCGTTACAAAAATTCAATTATTTTAAAAAAGTTTGATAAAATTCTTCGAATCAATTCAATTATTTTAAAAAAATTTGAAAAAATTCTCGGCAAAAATTTTAATTATTTTCAAAAATTTTTCTCAATTCAATGATTTTCATAATATCTACTAAAATTATTCAAAAGAATTCAATTATAAAAAATTTTATTGAAATTCTGCGCAAACATTTAAGTATATTCATAAAATAATTAAAATTTCTCAAGGAATTCAATTATTTTCATAAATAATAAAATTTTTTAAGGAATTATGATTTTATCTTTCGGTCATCTTTAATTTATTATTTAATTCAATTGAAGAATTTTTCAAAAACTAATTTCTTGATAATTTTTGAGTAAAATAAATTTCAGATTCAAGTTTCCTCAAAATTTCAATTTGTAATCTTTTAAAATTGAATTATTTATAAAAATTGTAAAAGCAACTCTACTAAAATTAATTTTGAAATTTTGAAGTAAAATTATTCGCTAAAGAATTTATTGATAATATGAGATTCTTTCAATAATTAAAATTATCAAAAAAATGCAAATTCAAACCATTCGAAATTCGATAATTTATAAAAATTATTTTCAAGATTTAAATTTAATTATTTTCTAGAATTTTTAACTAAACTTTTCTTCTCTAAGTCAATTATGTTTAAAAATTTTTAAGAAAGTTTTTTTTGAGAATATAATTATCCAAAAGATAAAAAAATTTCATCTAAAATAATTCTGAAATACAATTATTCAAAATTCAATTTTACAAAATTGTGATTATTTGAAAATTTTCCAATTAAATATATATTCAAGAATTCAACTATTTTCCAAAAAATTTACATACAAATTTTTCAAAAACTAACTTTTGAGAATTTTCAATTAAAATAACTTAAAATTTCATTTTTTGTAAAATTTTCAATTTCAATCTTTTTAAAATTCAATTATTTATAAAAATTATAAACGCAACTTCTCTAAAAGTCAATTATTATTTCAATTTTCAAGTAAAATATTTCTTTAAATAATATTTTTTTAATTCTGTTGAAATTAGTTTCAATTTAAAAACATTAACGCATTTCTTTGAGAGAATTTAATCATCTTAATATATATCAAAATTCTATCCAGAAATACATTTTCAAAAATTAAAAAAAAATTCTTGTCAACATTTTAATTATCTATTATAAATTGTAGTCAAATTCTTCGTCGAAAGTCAATTATATATTCAGATATTTTTATAAAATTCATGGCAAAATTCAATTATTTTCATAAATAATAATATTAATTCGGAGAATTCAATTAATTTCAAAATTAATAAAATTCTTTGTAGAAATTCAATTATTTTGAAAAAATAAAAAAAAAAATTGTCAACATTTCAATTATCTTTATAAATGAATAGCAAAGTTCTTCGATAGAATTCAATTATTTTCAGGAATTTTAATAAAATTCATTGCAAAATTCAATTATTTTCAAAATTTTTTTTAAAAATTCATGACAAAAATTCAATTATTTTCAAAAATGATTCTTAATTCAATGATTTTCAATATTCTGCTATTTTTATAAAATTTCCCAAAACATTTTAATTATTAAATAAAAATGTTGATAATATTCTACTCAAACATTCAATTATTTTCCAAAAATATAAAAATTTCACAAGAATTCAATTATTTAAAATAGAATTTGCACAAATTTTTTTGAAAAAAACCAATTGCTTGAAACTTTTTTATAAAATTCTTCGCAATAATTCACTTATTTTCATAAATAATAAATCTTATTGCAGAATTTCAATTATTTTTAAATACAATTTTAATCGATTTCCTCGAAAAATGTACTTATTCTTAAAAAGGTTATTAAAATTCGTCGAAAGAATTCATTTATTAAAAAATTTGTTGATAAAATGATGTGTTAAGAATTAAATTTCAAGAAACATTTAATTATTCAATTTTATTTGAATTTAAATAAATTGAATTCTCGTAGAATTTTATAGTGAAACTTGATTTAAAAATTAATTTCAGTTCAAGTTTTAGATAATAATTGAATTTTGGAGAAGTTACTAATAATTGCAATTTTTATAGAAATAATTAAATTTTGTAAAAGTTTTAAAATAAAAATCTTTGAAAATTTCAATTTTTTATACTTTTAATTAAAAATTCTGTGGATCTAATTTTTTTCAAAGACCTTAATCGAAATTTTTTTCAAATTATTTCAAAATTTTTATTTTCTAATGTATATTTAATTGAAGAATTTGCAAATAATCGAAATTTCGCAAAATTGAATTGTAAACAAATGAATTTGAAAATTGTCAAAGAAATTTTTCGTAAATTATTAAAAATAATTGATTTAAAGAAGAATTTTAGTTAAAAATTCTAGAAAATAATAATTGAGTAATTGAAATGATGAAAATATATTTAAAGAAGTTTTAGAAACAATAGTCTTATATTTTAATATAAAATAATGATTTTATTACTCGTTCATACCTTTAATTATTATATAAAACATGAAGAAAGCGATCGTACTTTTCCTAAATTTTCCCTGAATAAATGAATGAAAATAAAATATAATTTCTTTTTTCTTAGGTCTGGCGAAGGGATTCCCTCACAAATCGAATCTTCCAATCATTTTCAAGACCCATTTCAACGGCCGTCATTTTACAAACCTCCGACTCGAAATGCAAAACAATCACGGAACTTTGCACCAAAAAGGAAACATGCAAGACAAAGAAATTATGTCCAAAACAGAAAGCAACATGTCCGGAGGAGGAGAAGAAACCAGAAAATAAATGCAAAAGCGGTTGTCTACCAAAATTGAATAACTCAGGGGATAAGCGAAAATGTGAGACGCCCGAGAAACAAGAATATCCACCGACAAAATGCAATCCAAAAAAAATCGGCGGTCTCAGTCCATGTCCATGTAAATTCACACCGAAGGAAATGTGTCAGGAGATTCCTGCCAAAAAAATATGTCCCCCACCACCGTCACTGCCGAAATCGCCCTCTAAACCAATAGTTTTGTGCCCGTGTCCTCCACCTCCAAAATTGCCACCCACTTCCTGTCCATGCGTACCGGAAGTTGTCAACGAGATTTGTGAAAATGAAAAACCGCCTAAACCGTGTCCGCCGAAACCAAAGAAACCCTGCGCCAATCAATCGTACAATTGTTCCGAACGAAACGAGGGCAAAAAGCGAAAATAATTATATTTCAATTGTCAACTTCAAAATTTTCTCATCCAAATTCTTTTCTAATCACATAATTCACAAAATTACTATATTTTGAATTCAAAAATAATTGTAATCGGTTTTTCAAAGAGGCAAAAATTCAACGACTACTTTTTGTGATAATTTATTTCAACATTGTTATTAATATATAATAGTCCAAATAAAATGTTAACAAAAAATAAAAGAATAATTTAACAATTATTAAATTTTTTAAAATTCATATTGAGGCCTTGCAAAAAATGAGTAACGTTTTAAGGGGCGAGGGGAGGGTAAAGCTATTTGCTGTCAACAGAAAAAATGTTAAAAAATGTTCAAAATTACAGGAAGAGGGGTTGGAAAGCATTATATCGCATTTGCCATAAAAATTTAATTGTCTTTTTCTGAATTCTTCATAATTTCCAGACAGAATTTTAGTCTCAAAAAAAATATCCTGATTCACTCTAAAAATGATTAGATACGCAAAAAAATTTCTATTACATTTTATTAACGAATTCCTTTAATTGTAAAATTATTCAAAAATATTATTCAATTAATATTTCAATTATTTTCATCATTTCATTTAATTTTTGAGAAATTTCTTTGAGAATTTTCAAATCTAATTATCAACAAATATAAATTTAATTTGTCAACAATTTTCAAATTCATTTGTTTGAAATTTAATTTTACCATTTAAATTTCTATTATTCGTAAGTTCTTTAATTCAATATATTAGAAAATAAAGACTACAAATAATAAAAAACAAATAATTAAACTTTTTCAAAAAAATTAATTCTACAGAATTATTAGGTTAAAAGTATGAAAAATTCTGATTTTCAAAGATTTTAATTTGAAACCTTTTTAAAAAAATTTATAAGAATAATTACATGTTAGAGGAATTCGATTAAAATTGTATTAAAATCGTAGATATTAAAAATCATTGAATTGAGGAAAATTTTTGAAAATAATAAAAAATTTGCTAAGAAATCTATTAAAATTTTTTAAAATAATTCAATTTTGGAGAGTAATTTTATTACTTATAAAGAACTTGAAATTTTGAAGAGTTTAAAAAAATTTTTTGAAGCATAATTGAATTTCTGTGAATAATTTAAATAATTGAATTCTCGAACAATTTTTTATAAGAATTGATTTGTTATGGACAAATAAATAATAATCAATATTCAAATATTTATTAAACAGAACCTAATGAAATATTGAAAAATTTTATTTAGAAATTCGGAAAAAATAAGGTTTTTAAAACATCGGAATTAAAATTTTTTGATAAAAATTAAATTGTCGAAAATAATTAAAAATTTTAAAAATAGGAAATTTTCTCAAATTTCATTAAAATAAATTTTATATTTCAAAGAATTTATTATTTTTGGAAGAATTGTAACTAAACATTTGTAAAATAATTAAATTTTACAAAAAATGTTGTATTTAAACAATTAAATTATCGTTGACTTCTAATAAAAATTGATTTAAAAAAAAGAATTTCAGTTAAAATTTTAAAAAATAATTGAAAATTAGAAGCGTTGTAACAGGAATTTTAAAAAGGTTCTTAAATTGAAATCCTTTAAACAATTTAATTGCCGTAGAAATATAATATTATTATAATGTTTATTTAAAAAAATTTAATATATTATTTTCCTTTAAAAATTATTCAAGTATTGAAAAATTCTAAAAAAAATAATTAGTTTTTGGAAAAATTGCCTATGTAATAATTAGAAATAATTAAATTTCAAAAGGTTGTACATTGAAATTATTTGAAATTTCAATTAAAATAAGTAAACAATAAATTTTTAATTTTATTAATTCAAATCCATTTGTTTATAATTTAATTTTACGAAATTTCGATTATTCTGGAATTCTTCAATTCAATTATATTATTAGAAAATAAAAACTTCAAATAAAAACTTATAATCTAAAATTTTAACTAAAATTAATTTGTAAATCAATTTTTATTAGAAAATTCTACGAGAATTCAATTTTGTAAATTAAAAACGAAATAATTTATTGAATAATTGGATATTTCTTTAAATTTATTTCTCATAACAAATTCTATCTGCAAATTTTTAAATAATTGAATTCTTTAGACGAATTTTAATAAAATTATAAGAATAGTTACAATTTTCGAGAAATTCGATTAAAATTGCATTAGAAATAATTGATATTCTGCGATGAGTTTTATTATTTAAGAAAATAATTGAATTTGTGCGAAGAATTTTATTACTTTTAAAAATAATTAAATTCTTGAGTATTGTTGATGAGTATTGTTCTTTAAGAAAATAATTGAATTTTGCAAAGAATTTCATGAAAATTCCGGAAAGTAATTTAATTTCTAGGAAGAATTTTAATATTTATCCAGAAAATTGATTTCTTTGGAATTAGTTACTTATGCAAAATTATTAATTAAAATTATAGATTTTCCAAAAATTTGAATTTGAAACCTTTTCAGAATTTAATTATTTCTCAAAAATTCAATTTTTTAGAATTTTTAAATAAAATTCTTCACTAAATCAAGTATTTTTAATATCATTCCTCTCAATCAACTATTTCTAATAATAAAATAATTTATAATTAAATATACATTAAAAAATCAAACTATTTTCAAAAGAATTGGAATTAAAATTGTTCAAAAGAATTAGTTTTACTGAATTGTTAATTAAAAGAATTAAAAATTCAGATTCTCAAAGATTTTAATTTTGAAACCTTTTCAAAATTCAAATAAAAAAATTTGAATTAAAATTTTGGAAAAAAAAAATAGTTTTACAGAATTGTTAATTAAATTAAAATTTTTTCTCTGAATCAATTATTTTCAATAATTTGAAATTGATTCAAAATTCAAATTTTCTAAAAATTTCAAATTGAAACCTTTTGAAATTTATTTATAATTTATAAAAATTATGAACGCAATCTTATAAAATTCAAATATTTTTGAAATTTTTAATTAAAGTTCTTGATTAAATAATTTATATGTAATAAGTTTTTAATAGTTCTTTCAAATTTCGGCTATATTTTCAACAATACAACAATATCAAGAAAATAAAATTAATTCTTTAATTAATCAATAATTAATTATTAATCAATTAATTAATTAAATATAAATTATTTAATTTATTATTAATCAATCATTAATTATTTTTATATCCATTTTTTAAAAGCAATTCAATGATCATAAAATAAAATAGGACCAGAAAATATTTAGACCCTTTTTGAATTTTTATTTTTCTTAAAAATTGATAGATTTTAAAATCCATCTGTAATTTTGTAGAAAATATGTTTTTGGTATCCATAAAATTTTTATGGAGAATTTATTATTATTTTATTATTATTATTCAAGAATTTTTTTTTAAAAGCATTGTTTTTAGGGTAAAAAAAATTAAAATTCAAAATTCAAAATTCAAAAACGGCCAAAATATTTTCTGACCATTGATTCCTATCAAAAAATTAAGTATAAAATATTTTTATGAAAGATTGATATTATTTTCTTGATACAGTTAAAAATATATCCAAACCCTCCGTTTAGGAATTAAATTATAATAAAATTAATTATTGATAAAAACAAGGGGTTTTTTTATTAGAATTCTTGGTAATTTCAAACTTTTAAGGTAAACAAAATATAAAATAGATCAAGTGTGAAAATTAAAAATTCCAAACTGTCGAAAATAGAAAAAAGTTGCTGCTTTGCCATTTGTCTTGATCTAAACGTTGCAAACTCCCTTGAAATTTTGGTGAAAATCTCCAGCGCTCCGCACTCTTCCCTTTTTCGTATATAAATGTCGATATTATTACAACGAGGCGCTTTTGATGCCAATTTCATAGCTGGCGCACTCACACAGAAGGAACATCCAGCCGTGTTCAGTTATTGCCCAATACAGAGACGATCGTCGGGGAATCGAATCATATGATTGGACCGATCTCCGGCAGTAGAGATCGATTTCCTATTTACAACCACCCGCTACCGTTCTCTCTTGCCCTCGACTTCCTGTTCTGTCTGCCGTGACATGTTCCAGCGGAGGCGAGGGTTCGAACAACTCGCAAAAACAATTTACATTTATTTTATTTATTTTTATTTTCTCCATCATTTTTTATTTCATTCCATCATTTTTTGGCATTTAAATTTCATTCCTTCATTTTTAATACATACATACATACATTATTCGAAACATCAATAATTTGCTTAGGATAAGTATTTATAAATAATTATTTTTCTATAGAAATTAATAATATCAAAAATTTCCAATTTTTCAAACCTTTTGAATTTCGATAATTTATCAAAATTGCTACTGTAACTTCTACAAAATTATTTTCAAGATTTCAATTCAATTATTTTCTAGAATTTTTAACAAAACTTCTTAAAATCAATTATTCTCATCAGGGTGTCCAGCAAGGATTGAAAAAAAAAATTCCTGAATTTTCGGGATTGCTGATTATGAATCCGATGTCAAATTTTGAAAATTCAAAATGGCGGATCCAATATGGCGGACATTTTCAAAAATTCATGGGAAAAAATGCTTTTAAAATATTAAAAATCAATTTTTCCGATTAGAAATTTTTTTTATGGATACAAAAATATATTTTCTACAAAATTACGAATAGATATTAAAATCTATCAATTTCCAGGAAAAATAAAAAATCAAAAAGAAATTTCCTTCAACCCAAAATTAAATATGGCGAGTTTAATTTTAAAAAACAACAAAATTTTCACCTTATTAAGTTTGAAAATTTTTTTTACCCATAAAACGTGAGTGAATAAAATTCAATTCTCAACTATAGGTGCATGAAAATAGTACCTATACTTTTAAGGAACGTAAACAGGGTGTCCAGCTACCTTGAAAACTTTAAAAACCTTGAAAAGTACTTGAATTTTTTTTGCTCCTTGAAAACCTTAAAAACACCTTGAATTTTATGACAAAAAACCTTGAAAAATTAAAATTCTTAAAAATGAGATTTATTTCCTTGATGTTTTATGTTGAATTCTTTTCAATATTCCAATTATCTTTATAAATATAAAAATTCTTCGCCGAAATTCAATTATATTCAGGAACTTTAATAAAATTAATTGCAAAATACAATTATTATTTTCATAAATAACAATATTCATCACAAGAATTCAATTATTTTAAAAATTAATTAAATTTTTGTCAGAAATTCAATTATTTTAAAAAAATTTAATAAATTGTGGTCAACAATTCAATATTATTTTTAGAAATAAATAACAA